CAAATGTCCTTTGGTCCTGGCTATTCGTAGAGTGGCGGTTACTGGTCACTCGGAGTCATAGAAGCCTTGGTGTCCAGGGTCCATGTCTTGCAAGGAAGACTGCTGAACTAGCTCGAGATAGCAAGGCCGCCCTCAGCAGAATCAACAGTCACCACGCCAGACACTGGAGCTGACAGCACAGCCCACTTGCAGGAGGACTAATAGCAAGTGTCACTGTTCTTAGTCTCACTTTTGTCTTCTCATAGAGGTGTCTCTCTTCATCTGCACTTGTTAGATTAGCTTGTGGTCTCTGAGATCAAGCCCTGAAGTCCAAATCAAAATATCCGGCAATGTCCCTGAAGGTGCTCGGTCTTCATTATCACTTGCACCTTTGGGTTGCCTCTGTTTGGCTGGCAGAGCAGGACTTGGCTGTTGGCCCAAACTTATATGGGTTCAGATGATAAAGTTCAAACTCAGGTTGGAGTTAGTTATGCTAACTCTGCTCTCCGCCTTCCACCCCCTGATTCCCGAGGTGTTTACAATAAGGGAATCATTCTGAAATATCATTTCAAAATAACCATTTTTTCATTATGGTAAACAGAAAAATTATGTATCACACTCTTTTCAAAATACAAGGGGTACCACCAACCCATAGTACATTCTTTTGAATGAAAGGTTTCATAGTATTTGTACATAATATATTTAAGTTCAATAAGGTATTCAAAAATTACAACATCACACCATTTATAAGCATACACAATAGCTAATGTTCCAGGTGAGACAGGGCTTTTCCCCAGTAGAATGATATAATGAGACTGACTAATGCTTAGGGCTAGATATGGAATTCCAGGGGCATTATATACCAATTATCTCCAGCAAGTGGTAGGACTTTAGTTCCTTCCCAAATTTTCCATGTTTTTCCATGTTTTTCTAGGTGCCCATAGGAAAATAAAACCCCCTCATATAGCCCGGCCGTGCGTGGCTAAGCAGATCTCCTAGGATCCAGGAGATCGCGGTTCAATTCCCAGTCAGGGCACATGCCCCGGTTGCAGGCTGGACCCCTGGTCGGGAGTGTGCAGGAGGCAGCCGATCAATGACTCTCTCATCATTGATATTTCTATCTCTCTCTCCCTCCCTTTCCCTGAAATCAATAAAGATATATTTTAAAAAATTGCCTCACCTATGTGGTTGAGCGGCAGCCTGTCGGTTGACTGTTACGGTGTGTTTGCTCCCTATGTTACAGTGTTGAGCCAAAGCGTGGTCTCATCTGGACACAGCGTCGAGAGGATCCACACACTCTGAGTCATTCTCATCATGTGGGTAACATGCTTACGCCCCTACTAAGAATTAAATTTATGGCCGGGTTCCCTATGTCCCTTTGCATGTACAATGTTTGGGCAAAAACCTCCCAGAGTCAACACACAAATGCAAACAAACAAAATGTTATATAACAGACTATTTGGTAGATTTCCTTGAACCACAGTTCCCTAAGCGTAAGAATTTAATAGTACATATTATCAAACATACTCGTATGTAAACTGGGGTTGGGATAACTGGGGTAAGCTATCAAAGATTCTTGGTCTTCTTTGGAGAGTAACTGTAATTCACATAAGCTTTCATTGGTGCATGAAGATTGTTCAAAATCATCTAGTATGATGTGTCTTTTTGAAGAGAATGCTAATGTTGGGCTTTTTCTGAAAACAAGCATGTTGAAATAACTGCTGCCAAGACCTGTTATTTATTGGAGATTTGGTTACATGCTATTGTGAATCTGTTTTTTTTTACTTCTGCTCTCAGTACTAAGAGATTTGTCTCTAAAATATCTTGTCTTTCTGTTATGCCTTGGACGGTTGAATTTAGAACTTTAAAATAATCTTGATACTGTTCCATAATATGTCTAATGTCTGAGAGTGGAGGTAGTACATTTCCAATTTTATTTTGGATATCTTTAAAATGTAGGTTAGATTTTTGTTGATCAAAAGGTTGAGTTCTAATGTATGCTATTTCTCCTTCTTGTACTCCTGACCATAACAAATTGGTTAACAATCCTGTAGCTAGTAATCCAATTCCTAATTGCAATAATAGTCTTTGTTTATATTTAGTATTTAGAGGCATGGATAGTGCTACAGGAGTACTGTATTTGTCTTTGTCAATTGTGGCACAACCTGGCAGGAAGTAACTAGGTGTGAACTGTTGTTTAGTGAATGGTATGTGATATTTTATAATTTTAGGTTTACACAATATTCTTACTGGATGTCGCCTGCGAGATTGTAAGTTTAATTGTTGTGTAAGTATTGGTTTGAGTCTCAACAGACCTCTGGCCCATGCTGGTTCCCACTGTTCTGTTTTTAGGCAGTGGGTGCTATTAAAGCATCCTCTGAATTATACATGGTCCAGGGCTGTTGTCCTCCAATGTAACAACTTGGGAATGTCACGAGTTTAATAAATATCAGTAATTCAGTATAAATACTATTTTCTACAAGCGTTTTGTGTGCAACCATGTGCCTTTTGTAAACTGTTGTGCAAAAAGCTGAATCACGTCAAATGAATAAGGTTGGAATCCTGTGTCAACCTGTTCTAAATCAGAGATTCTGGGGCTCAGCGTTAGCTACCATGTGGCTGGTTTGTCTTGTATGGCTGCTGCCATATAGTTAAATTGAAAGAAAACATCTGAATTTATTTTTTCACAAAAAGCAAGATTCAAACCTCTATGTGTATAGGACATGTTGTTATGATTTATATGTATAAATATAGGTTTGTCCTTTGATGTTATATCTTTGTTCTATTTTGATGTTATCGGACACCTTGGTGTCTTTATCAAACACATGTGAAATGTGTAATTCTAAATTTGGAACCCCTTTCGTAGGGGTTGTTAAGGCTATGAAAAATACTCCTCTTATCCCATTTCTATAAGCCTGATCAGCGTTTCCTAACATAAAACCTGCTATTCCTAATGATAGTGTCACCACTACCACATAAACTCCTAGCCAGGAAAATACCTCACCCCTCTTGGGGGCGAGAGGTGTTCAGTCTTATGTGCTGTAAGTCTCCCTTTCCTCCTCTTGTCCAATAGGTGTTTCCCTCTCCATTGGCTATTGTTTCCTGCTGGGACAGAGAGCCCATATGAGCTTTTGTGGTGACTTTAGAAGACTAGGATTTTGTCCTAAATATCTGTGTGGTGTTTCTCTCCCTGGCCTTTCTCTTTAAGTAGAATAGAGCCCAATCTAATATCTCTTGCCAGCCTTTGGCTGAGCCAATTAACTTTGATTCCTTTTTTAGCAATCCATTAAATCTCTCAATATTACCTGCTGAGGTGGGGTTGTAGGGTAAATGAAAATTCCACTGTATGTCTAATTGTTCTGTCAAGTTTTTTATTCTAGCTGCTGTGAAATGGGAGCCTTGATCACTCTCTATTATTCATGGGGCCCCATAGTGGCTGCACCATCCTGCTAATGCTCTTACGGTTGTTCTGGCATGTGCATTCGTGCCCAGAGCCATACCTATTCCTGTGTGTATATCTACCATTGTGCATGCGTGTTTCTGTTGAAATCCTGCCCATTGGTCCTATGAAGTCAATCTATAGGACAAAATTAAATATATCCCGCCTTAAGTGTCCAAATTGCTCACTAAAAATTTTGCATTTCTCACGTTCTTGTATGGCCTTTCTTACCCTGTGCCGAGACATTTGGAGATTTCTTCTTGTGTACCATGTGTACAGAGATGTGTCCCTGGGTATCCTAACGCTGTGTGTGACTTTCTTATGGCATCTCCACTAGGCTCTCCATAGTCCGTCCTCTTACTAGAGGATACAGTACACAATCCTGTAATTTTGCAGTATTTTAGTTTGTCTTTTAGGCCTGTTCCTTTCAGGTATATTTGTCTTAACTTTTTCTTTTTTTCTCCCTTCTGGTTTTATCTCGCCTCTTGGTGACTTATCGGCTATGTATTAAATACAGTTTCAGCTTCAGAACCTTTCTGATGTGCCAATAGGTGGGTCACGGACATTTGGGTTTTATATTTTGCTTTTGCCAGCTCTTGCCAATATTCATGTCACCATACATTTTTGCCGTTTATCTGAAAATTAGTCTTGTCCCATTTCTGTGACCAGATTGCTAATTCCATTTGCCACCACCCACGAGTCAGTAAAAAGACACTTTTGCTTTTGACTTTCTGCCAATGAATGCCTTACTGCCAATACTGTTGCGATGAGGCCTGCACGCTGCACGTTGTTAGGCTTACCAGTGCATCGGGGGTCTGCCTCTCCCTGGGCCTGAAGGCCGCTGCTGTCCACGCAGTCTGCCCACTTAACAGTGTGTGAGGACCCATCTGTGAACCAGGGACTGGGCAGAGCATTAGACCAGGAGGGGCCCCCTTTCCCTTTTGGGTTCGGATGTGCTTCTCCCTCGGAAATATTTCCGGCAAGCCTATCTCTCTCTGCTTGGTGGTGTAGTTCCTCTGTGAGGAAGCTAGGCTGTCCCTTGGCTGTGGTATCTCGATTCTTTGTACCACTTCCATGTTAGGACCTCTGGTTCAGACATGTTCCTGCTACTTCTTCAGGACTAGGCTTTGATGAAGCCAGGGCCAGAATAGCTGACCTTAATACAACTGGCGAATTGTCAGTTAATGATTCTGTTATTTTTTAGGCTTCAAATAGTAGCCAAACTATTTTTTTCTAAATTTGTATACCTGGAGGGGGCATACAGAAGGCGTCTGGTCCAGACCCCACTGTTTTAAATAATTTATCTTGAGGACTTCTTGTCTACAGAGCCCATGATCTGAAGTCATTAGAATAGACTAAATCTATTCTTGATTGATCTCCAGGCCTTGGGCAATTTAGTTTTTTTAAATGACTACTGTATTCTTTCAAGAGGTTGTTTTTCTGTCCATTCAAAATCTGAGGCTTTTCCTGTTACATCACAGAGAGGTCTAAGGATCATACCAAAGTATGGAATATGTTGTCTCCAGTACCTGAACATGCCTATAAGATGTTGTGCTTCTGTATTGTGACGTTGAAAACATAGAAGATCTAGTGAAAATCCCCAAGAGTTTCTTACAGGTAAGTTTCCTGAGAGGGAAGAGCCGCGTGCCCTGCCCCAGGGGACCTTGTGAAAGCCGCCTGACGTCTATAAGCAGTGCTGTGGGGGTCGGGTGTGGAGCAGCCTTAAACCCAGATTCTCACCTTCCCCCCCCTCTCCAGCACCTCCTAAAAGGGGAGAGCACCTCAGGGATCTGTTTCTGCATAAAAACATACTAAGCAGAGTAATGATTTTCACTTACCCAGTAACCTGCCTCTTCACAGATGTTGAATGGTAATAACCAAAACCCAAATGCTGGCGATTAGTGACATTTCTTTCCTTTGTATGTGTAATAAAAGCACTCCCAGTAGTTGCTCATTGTAGGAAAATGCTAATATATCTCCAAGGTGAAGCCCGTGTGTGCACCGGTGCGCATTCCCGCCCCTGGGACAGCCAGATGCAGTGTCGCGCTGCAGGCCACACAGGCCTGGCCCGGGCAGCTTCCGAGAAGGCACCGGGCAGCCTTGTGAAACTCAGCTGTGCTCAGCAGACCTTACCGCCTGGGCTGGGAGAAATAAACTGGTTAACTAACCCTACGTTTAATAGCTTTATTCTTTTTTAAAGTACACTTTCGGGGGGTGTAGAGAATTACTGACTCTATTATGTTAAAGTCCTTGCTTAGCGAAAGATCGGCGTCATTAGACCTTTGCCACACATCCCTTTCTTGGGCTGACCCTGTGCGCTCTGCTCCATTCCTCTAGGAGCCCACACGCGGCATCAGAACGGAAGGGAAGAGCTGGAGGGGAGCTGTAGAAACACGATTGCTAATAGTGTGTTCCTGTGTTTTCTCCTAAAGGAGGCAGATGTCACCCTCGTAGTGATCGGACAGTCATCCCCCCGTCACATTGAGGTAAATGCGCAACCAACTGAGAACTACCCAGTTTCACTAACACATAAAGTCGCATGGTTTGAACCACTGAGTGTAGGTTTTATCTACTGAAATTCAGTTAGACTACAATTACTTTTCTCATTTCTTCTTATAAAAATCCCAAATATTCTCTTTTTGTAGCCTTTCTGCAGACTGACTGGGTATTGCCATGAAATCTATGTTGATCCTGAGAGAGAAATTTATAGAAGATTGGGAATGAAAAGAGGTGAAGAAGTTACCTCCTCAGGTAACACATGACATGTCTCCAGTAGAAAACACTGGTGATGTATTTTTACGGTTGAATCTATACACATAGAGGAACACATGGTAAGTTCAAGAGTCAGACTGTTCTTCATGATTCTACTAAGTGGTCCAGATACACCAGAGGCTCCAAGATTCGTTTCTGGGGTGTGATGACGTGGAGAGCTGTCAAGTACTAAGTGAAGTAAAAAGCAGGTTGCAGGGCAGTGTTTTCAGTATGAGTCCAGTTTTGTAAAAGCAAAAACCATTCCATAAACAAAGCTCTGTATTGTGATTGTGTGTCTGTGTGTAATGAAAAAGGTTTGTTTGTTTTTAAAATATATCTTTATTGACTTCAGAGAGAGGAAGGGAGGGGGGAGAGAGAGAAACATCAATGATGAGAGAGTCATTGATCGGCTGCCTCCTGCACGGCCCCTCTGGGGACTGAGCCCACAACCCAGGTATGTGCCCTGACCAGGAATTGAACCTCGACCTCCTGCATCATAGGTCGATGCTCAACCGCTGAGCCACACCAGCTGAGCATGAAAAGGGTTTTAAAAGACATTGCAGTGCTAACCCCAAGGAATGGAAGTGAGAGAAATGGTTTTTATGTTTTTAAATGAGTACATTTTACTTCTGTAATTAAAAGAAAAATAATTGCACAGCTAATATATTTTTATACCTCATCTTCATGACTTGGAATACTCTGTTCTTTAATTGATGAAATCGTACTTTTCATTTGAAGCTCAACTCAAAGGAGCTCTTACTAGCTCTTCAAGCAGAAGCAATTGCTTCCCTCACTGTATTTTAACAGCTCTTTGTACTTCGTTATAAACTTAGCTATTGCGTGTAAAGTGGCTGGGAGAGTGGTTAGTTGAAGAGTTTGATATTCTGTCTACCTTTGTGTGGTCCACATTCCCTGCCCTTAGCACATTCTTTGTAATCAATAGATTTACTAAGCTTTAGGTGAACTGTTAATGTGTTTTAGGAAGAACTTGGCTTCTGAAATGCCAAGTAAGAGAACTCAACGCGAACTTAAAACATTCATTCTCAGCAAATGTTATTGAGCTCTGGTTCATGGCAACCACTGTGCTGGATGCTCCAGGAGGATGGTGATAAATGAAGAACACAGACCCTGCCATCCCGAAACTCATGATCTACTCTGAGGGACAGAAGCAAGCAGCTAATTACATTCCAGTTTAAAGATCTGTAATAGAGGAAAGCATGTTCTAGGAATACCTGTGCCAGAAATGCAAGGGGAGAGAGTACCTGGGAAGGCTTCTCAGAGGAGGCGTCCAAGCTCACTCTTAAAGGAGTTAGCTGAGTGATATGAGGCTGGAGAAGGGTGCTGCTGACAGAAAGCCCATGAAAAACCATATAGGCTTTTGAAAAAACTTGATTCTTGGAGAAGTACAGGTCCCTGCATCTGGCCAGAGTCTAAGAGCCAGTTTGGGAATTGGTGAGCCAAGGGACAGGTTGTGGCCAATTCATGCCGAGTATGGGGTGACATGCCAAGGAGTTTGGATTTGTTCTGGGGGCAGTGAGGGGGCCTTACAAGTATCAGAAGTGGACAAGTTATGACAGTCACGTATCCTGGGTGGAGGAAGAATTGGAACCCCCCAACCAGAGCCAGTGATATTTGTGACAAGGTTGTGGCAATAGGCTGGAAAGAAATGACAGGGCCTGAAGTTCTAGAGGTGGATGGATGGGAGGTGATGGATTGCGGAGCTATTTATGAGATAGAGTTGACATGATCCATTTACTGGTGTTTTTAAAGAAAGCCACTTAAACTTTACTAACACTCTTGGGGAGCCAGCATAAACACAGAGTTCGCTCTTTCTCTCTTTAGTGGAGGAAACTTCAACAGCACCAGCTGTGGACCTCACCCTTTGCGTGACAGATTTCCTGTGCTGTAACAGAGTCTCAGCAACAGGCAGGTCTGAGGCAGCAAATCATCGAAATAAGAAGTTAAAAGTAAGTCATAAAAGACAGAGAGAGGAGAGAAATAAGTTACAAGGATAAAGAGACTGTGATTCTTCAGGCCAAGGGGGTGGAAGTGAAATACCAGCCAGAGTGAGAAAGGAAATGGACACACTGAGCCCAGGGAAGGTGGTCAGGCAGCTGCAGTGGCTACAGCTAAGCCCCGAAGGCTAAGAGCATAACATGCTCGAAGGTTCTTTCTTTTACTTTTCAAAAAGGGTGCATCTGTTCGGGTGCCCTGCCTCCAAGCAGCCATTCGGGGACACGATATGGAAGGGCCATCTTGGGGCTCTGCCATCTTCAGCCCAAGGCTTCCCAGAGTGTAGAAAGAACATGGAGTCACTTGTGGCACGTTGTTGGGGCTGGGGAAGCGGCACACACCCCTTCCCTCGCTGGCTGGAACAGTGACATGGCACAGCAAACTGCCAGGAAGACTGGGGATGTAGTCAGCTGTGGGCCCAGAAAGAAGAAAGAGGTTTTGACCAGCACATAGCAGCCTGTGCCACAATGTCTCTTGAAAAGGAGGGTAGCTACCTATTTATAGGTTAGACACTAAACAATGTATAAATGGGGAATTAAAAAGGAAAGCACTAGCAGTTTCAGAAGTCTATAGCGGATAGTTTTCTGTGGCAGAAAGTGACCTAGGTCTGTCATCACATTTTCCATTAAAGCAGAAGTCCTCGCCCTGGCCAGTTAGGCCGGTTGCTCAGTTGGTTAGATGATCATCCTGATAAGCCAAGTTGCAGGCTCCATCTCTGGTCAGAGCACATACGAAAATCAACCAATGGCCCTGGGTGGTGTGGCTTCTTTGGTAGGGCATTGTCTTGTGCACCAAAGGGTTGTGTGTTCAATTCCCAGTCAAGGCACATGCCCAGGTTGCTGGCTTGATTCCCCATACAGGGCATGCCAATCAATGTTTTACTCTCACAATGTTTCTCTCTCTTCCTCTCTCTCTAAAAATCAATAAAAAATCTTAAAAAATGGAATTAAAAAAAGAGAATCAACCAATGAAGGCATATATAAGTAGAACAACAAACCGATGTTTCTCTTCCTCCCTCTCTCTCTAAAATCAATCAATAAATAAACAAAACAAAACAAAATCCTTAACCAGGGACAATTTAGCCTCCCAAGGGACATTTGACTTTGTCTAGAGACATTTTTAGTTGCCACAATTTGGTGCTTGCTATGGCATCTAGTGGGCGCAGAGGGCAAGGATGCTGCTAAACACCCTACACTGCACAGGACAAAGAATTATCTGGTCTAAAACATCAGCAGTGAAAGGCTAAGAAACCATTCTGGGCAGGGAAGAAAGACAAGTCAAAAGTTAAGATGACACACAAGAAAGAGAAGTACTAACATTGTCTTTTTAATATCTAATCGAATATAAAATGATAACATCTAAAACACTTTCTAATATTTCAGGACCGAGCCCCCATATAAAGTCAAATATACTCTCAGGAAGCATTTGGAGCCTGTGGCGGGCAGTGACGGGCCCTCCTTTTGACTTTCAAGGAGACCCAGTTCAGCAGGGCGGCACCCTCATCTTAGGGCCAGGTAAGCGTCAGGGCCCA